GGTAGTTCTACCCCACGGGTTCTTTTGGTTTTAAGCCTTTTACAGAGCAAAGAGGGCTTTGTCATTTTATGACCCATCCCACTTCCAGCCATGGCTGGCTGCTGCTTCTTTGGTGAGGATGATGCTTGCCAGTTCATGCTTCTTTCAACTGCCTGACTGAGTAGAACAAACTCTCAAAGAGCCTGGAAGATTGTAGAGGTGAAGTGTATGTTCTAAAACTGGAATTTTTTCTGGGAAAAATCAGCTAGTCTGTATAATAACTAAATTTTAGCATCTTGACCTCACTTACACCCACCAATCAAATGACCACACAGATTCATATGCTAAGGAAAAAATATGCTGGAAGATAATTGGCAAATATGAGAGCAGATGAACAGCTGATGACAGATTTGTGTGTGATGAATGAAGCAGGTACAGGGACTGCAGCCCGCTGGTGGTACTCTATACTAGCACAGAGTCACCTTTCTCCCCATTCACTTACCTTACTCTTAGCTGGGACACATTTGGCTATTTTGTCCCAACGGTCAGAGGCCCCTTTTGGGTATTGCTGTAATGCCATTTCCAGAAGCTTCTGCTGATTCTGAGTCCACGGCTCCTCTGCAGCATGAGTTCTCTCTTTTTTCTGGCTCTCCTCATCACTGGATTCATTTTGTTCTGATATGTCAAAGTCCTTCTGCCTCTTTCCTCTACACTTCTCCTCTGGTTCAACCTTTGTTACTGCCTCAAGCAGCCTGGCTGCCTTCCTCTTCCTAGGCCGCATTTCAGTGTCTGCTTCCTGCTCTTCCTCCTCCACTGCCCTTCCTGCATCTTCTCGATGGGTGATGATGTCATCTGGCAAGGCAGTGGCTGCCTTGATGGGCCTGGAATTGTGAACTGTGGATCTAAGTTCAGAGAGTCTGACCATCCCTAGGAAAGAAGGCCACAGCACACAGATGACTAGGCAAGGTAAACCAGGCAACAGTGAAAACAGGAGCTGTCTGCCACACATGGGGCAGTGGGCTAGACATTCTGCATACCTCATTTTTTTTCATACTAATCTACAAAGGTAGGTATCGTTATTAATTTTACAGGAAAATCTCAGAAAGCAGAGGAGGTAGGATTTGGACCCACTTTTGTCTGATTTCTTTCCTCTGAGGGATACTGTATATATAATTATGATCAAAGAACACAAGGATCTCTCTGAAAAGGGACAATCTGCTATTAGGTAAGGAAGGACATTCTTTATACTCCAGCATTTTCATTATATCTGTTAGCATAACTAAAACAAATCAGGCAAGACTTATACTATGCTGTCTCTGGCATGCACATGAGTAAATTATTCTGTAGCTATTAGAGGAATTCTTAAACATAGAAAGAAAATTTTTACTAAAAAGTTAACAAAGGAAGAAATGCAAATAGCTAACAAATGTTAGAGGTGTGCAAATTGAAGCAACAAATTATCATCTTTCAATTATTAAATTGGCAAAGACAAGTAAGTATGACAATGTTCGGTACTGATAAAGACGCTGAGAAATAGGTGCATTCATGTGCTGGTAGTGAGAGCAGAAAATGGTCTTATCCCTGGGCTTTTAGTAAAACATTCTGTGTTGCTATTAAATACTTAATAAGCTAGTCCAGGAAGTGTTTGTTATTTTACTTAATTCTGGGGACTGAGGATGTGGCTTGGTGGTAGTGTGCTTGCAGAACATGTGAGAGCCCCTGGGTCTAATCCCCCACCATTGAAATAAATAAACAAACAAATAAATAAATTTTAATTAATTAAAATATAATTTAAACTTTAATTTCAAATAGCTCTAAGTAGCTAGTGGTTAGAATATCAGACAATGAGGATACAATCTTTCTGGAGGATAGTTTGTCAAATGTAGGTAAACCTTGAAATATATTTACTTAATGACTTTTATTTAGAGGAGGTTCTCTTAAGGAAATAATTATGTAGCTATTAAGAGGCAGTATTTTACTTATCTCACATTTTGAAGTGATGGTTTCTTTCTTTCTTTCTTTCTTTTTTTTGGGGGGTGGTCAGCTTTTTTAAAATAAAAGGAGATCCTGCACGTAATAAATATATTCAAATAGTGTAAGCTCTCTGTCTGGTTCCCAGGCTTCTTCTTCCAAGGCAATAATGGTTTGGGATATGAGACACAGTGTATGTGTGTGGAGTGTACAAATATCTAGAAAGAAACAAGTAAAGCACACACTGTGCATCTGTCTTTGCCTCCCCCTCTTTATGTCTGTGGCAGTACACATCATTTTTAGTGGCTATGAGTGGATCTGTCATGATTGACTAAAATAACTCTTTACAGATAGATATCTGGTTGGTCCTCGTCTGGTATTGAATGCTACAAACAAGCAGAAACAAAGAAGAAATCTCAAGCATGAGCGCCATACTTTTTGATAACATGTTCTATTAGTAGAACACTTTTCAATATATAATTCTAACATATAATATTTACTTATTCATAAATTATATTAATATATTACAAATGTTAATAATGAAGCACACTCACAAAATAAAATCAATTTAAAGATAAAAATGAGAAACAACAGTTATCTAAAATTTTTAAAAAAATTTTTTTAAATGCTATTTGAAGTAAATTTTATTACTTGTCAAGAAGTTTTATTTGCGGCTAGGTGTGGTGGTGCACACCTGTAATCCCAGTGGCTGAGGCAAGGGGATAGAAAGTTGGAGGCCATGACCTCAGCAACTTTGCCAGAACCTGTCTCAAAATAAAAAGTAAAAAAAGGCTGAGGATGTAGCACAATGGTAATCAATCACCAAAACCTAAATAAATAAATAGATTTTAAACATTAAAAAAAAATTGTGGTGTGTGGGGGGGTAGTGGGAATTGAACCCAGTAGCATTTTACCACTGAACTACATCTCCCCTTTTTTTTTTTTTTTTTTGGTACTGGGGATTGAAGACAGTGCTACTTCACCTAGGTATTTTTATTATATATTTTATTATTATTTTTATTTTTTAATTTGAGACAGGGTCTTACTAAGATGCTTAGGGTCTTATTAAATTGCTGAGGCTGGCCTTGAACTTGCAATCCTCCTGCGTTGAGTTGCTGGGATTACATGTATGGGCCACCATGCCGAGCTCTAAAAACACTAAGTGAAACAAAACATCATCATGAAAATATTATTAATATTAAAAAAAAGAGACTAAAAAGTTGTTTAATATTGGGTAAAATACTAAATTAGCAGGTTCGTTCCAAATTCTGTTTATTTTGGTGTCTGATTTTTTTTAATTAATTAATTTATTTAAATTAGGTATGACAGCAGAAAGCATTTTGATTCATTGTATACAACTGCAGCACAACTTTATTTCTCTGGTTGAACCCAATGTAGCATCGCATCAATATGTGCGGTCATACATGTACCTAGGGTAATAATGTCCATCTTATTCCACAATCTTTCCTACTCCCATGCACCCTCCCCACTGCTCCCTCCACTTTGCCCAATCAAAGTTCCTTCATTCTTTCCATGCCCCCTGCCCCCCATTATGGATCAGCATCCACTTATCAGAGAGAACATTTGGCCTTTGGTTCTTTTGGGATTAGCTTACTTCGCTTAGCATGATATTCTCCAACTCCATCCATTTACCTGCAAATGCCATAATTTTATTCTCTCTCTCTCTCTCTCTCTCTCTTTTTTTAAACTCAGAACAATTTATTGAATTAAAAAGGCAGAGCAGAAAAGAGAGGATGAGGGTTAAGAACAAAGACTGAGTCCTGTGGCAGCATTCATTCCTAGGTATTGGGGCAAAACTTAAAACAAATGGAATTTGCTACCCTCTTGATATGACATCCTTGCTTCTTTCACATTCTTAAAAGAAAAAGCTTCACATTGTTCTGGGAAAAAACTAAAAGCAACCAATAAATTAGTGTCCTATACCTAGAAAGAGGGTAAATGAGAGTGCATTATTTCATAGATTTTTCCAAACATCACAAAACTAAAGATAATATGTCAATTCTATTTTTTTTTTTTTACCAAACATAAATCTATGACAAAATGAGAGCCATGTTGGCAAATAAAGGGGTATGTTTTAGATGGCTAGATGATATATACTGGAATGCAGAAAGCAGCTGGTACATTGAAACCAATGCTGGATCATTAATAGCAGGTCCACCTTTGGCTTATCACTATTAAGTTTCAACTGTCAGATTGGGATCCTTTGTAGATCAGATCAAGAGATAGTATAGTCAGTTTCTCAGGTGGTAAATCTAACACCATTCTGAGAAACAGCCATCCCCTTTACTGGGATGGAGCTATGTTGCTCAGTGAGGGAAACACAGATTGACTGGTGTCAATAGAGGTGACAGCAAGAGGAACCCTGTGTTCCTGATGCCTGGCTTATGCTCCCACTCTTAGGAAAAGGACCGAGTAGTGCATGGGTACATCATGATAAACAAAGCATAATGAAGCAGGAGCTTCCATGTTTTAATACAGGTCTGTGGTAACATTGTCTCAGGTGGAATCTGCCCACCAAAGTAACCTTTTAAGAAATGGGCCCAACCTGAGTTCCACATGCTGGGTGAGCCAGATAATTCTGTGCTCTGGTCACTTTCTTCAATGGGGCAAATTGGGGCTGCCAGGTTTTTAAAATCATGCTTCATCTTAAAGAACACGGTCACTTTACCCTCCTCACGTTGGGGGGTAACTTTGATGAAAATGCCCGCTTTGTTGGCCTTTCTGAAGGCTATAATGTCAGGATCATCCTGAAAATCCTGGGGTTCTGCCAACTCATCATATTCTGCTGCTGCATCCTTGCCAGCTAAAATGAGCTCTTTGGGAGACACTACCACCTTACCAGTGCTACTGATATCATCAGGACTCCCACCTCACACTCTGGAAACAGAATCACATGGGTAAGGTTTTCCACAGGATTCGAAAGAGTCAGAAGGACCTGGCTCTCCTTCATGTAGCAAAGGTTGGGAATTGACACGATTCTCACTTCTGGAATATAATTGACAGCAACCAGTTGGATTTTGAATTTGACAGATGTTGGAATAAATTCAGGCTTGCTCAAATTATGTTCACATTTTCAGTGGTGCAGGGTCCGTTTGATCAGAAGATGTTTGTGACGAGGATAGAGTCGTGAAGCACAAATTGGTTGGAAGTCAGGCTGTAAGAGGCGCTGCTGAAGGGTAGTCACCTCTTTTAAATTTACTGGTCCTGTGTAATAGTTTTCAGGTAGAAGTTCCACTTCATCCATGGCCTGAGCTGGCTCAATCTTTATCTCTTTCTGGTCCTCTCCTTCTTTAAGGGAAAGCCCAGCAAGGGTACTGATGGATGCACTAGCTTGTGGTTGCTGAAGCCTGGTTCCAAGACCATATTTGTCTGAAAAAGCCAGGGGCATATAGTTTCTACACTGTGCCAATTTCTTGTGATCTCGCTCAACCTTCTCTTTCTGAGCAAGCTGCTGGTAATATTCTATTCAATCAATGTGTTCATCCGTTGTGTGTGAGGATTTTCTGGTTCCTGCCAACCACCACTAGCTACAGATTTGTCTGCCATGCCCACATCTCTAGATGTCCAGCGACAAAATCCATGGCCAAGTAATAGGCTTTCTTCATGGTGGTTTTAGCTGGGTCATCTGGGAGCTGTGTGGAGATGCTTGTTGCCCAGGTAGATAGTGTGTGCATGTAGCCAGGACAGGCAAAGCAGTTGGCACATCTACTTTTTTTTTTTTTTTTTTTTTTTAGTTTGGCTTTAGCTGATGGCATATTTTCTAAGCAACTGGGACAATAATGGGAGTCCACCTTGTGAGACACACATTCCAGCGACTGCAGCTTGCTACAATAGTGGCAAAAGTAGAGCTGCGAAAGCGGGCCCAAACCTTCTTTTCTCCTTGGACTAGATAGAGAACCCACTCCGACTGCAGCAAGGATGCCATCTGGAGAGGG